CAATGGCTCTATTTTGTGGAGGCTTCTATTTAAGCCCCATGGCCGGCTTAAGCTCACTCTCTTGGTCATTTTCATTGACATAGCAATCTTGTGAGCTTAGCCAAAGCTCTCCCACTCATCTCCATCATTGATCCATCATCATTGTGAGATTGGGAGAGAATCCAAGTGCATTGCTTGAGTGATTGCATCTAGAGGCACTTGGCATTCGTGTTGCGCTGCGGATTTCGCTTGTTTCTCTTGGTGGTTGCCACCACCTAGACGGTTGGAGCAGCGGTGGAGGATTGGCATGAGTTGGTGATTGTTCGTGGCCATCTCCGATGATTGTAAGGGGAGTTGTACCTTCCTCGGCGGAGTGCCGAAAGGTAACTCTAGTAAATTGCTCGTGTCATTGAGTTACCTCACTTGTGGACCGGTTCTTGCGGTGTCCTATCGTGTGGACGAGGTTTGTGAAACACCTCTTAGCCGCCGAACCACCAAGTGTTGGTCGACACAACGGGGACGTAGTGTGTTGGCAAACACGTGAACCTCGGGAGAAAATCGATTGTCTCTTGTCTTTGGCATTCTCCCGGTGATTGGCTATATATTCATCTTGTGATTGGTTCATCCCCTACACGGCAGTATAATCACCCTACTCACTTATTTACATTCATCTAGTTGAGCTCTTTAGAGTAGCAAGATTGAGAGCTCTTAGTGAGTAGTTACATAGCAAGTTTGTGTGCCTAAGTAATCATTGCAACTAGAATTGTTGGATAGGTGGCTTATAACCCTTGTAGAGCTAGAGTAAATTTGCATTACGCTATTTGTCATACTAATCAAATTGCTCTAGTTGATTTGTAGATTTTTAAATAGGCTATTCACCCCCCTCTAGCCATATTAGGACCTTTCACCAGCGTCCGGTCGCACCGAAGTCAGCGTCTGGTCAGTATTTGACCCTCCATTCACTTCCAACTCTCGATCATATGCGAATGAAGTTTGCTCCAATGGATCTTAGGCATATTTAGGAGCTACCTAGTGCTAGTTTTAACAAATGTGCATCACATCTAACTCACTAGACTCACCTAGGTCAAGCTACCCGTCTATACCCCCTTAGTAGTACGGCCAAAGGAAAAACAAAGTCCTAAACTACTCTAAGTGTCTCTCCAACTCCAATCGACACTTAGAATTAGTCATCCTTAACCTTGTCGTCCATCATTTGAAAACCAAAACGATTTCCATCGTAGGGGCATGACCACCATGATTGCTCAATTGATCTCTATTACCATGACCTAACGTAATTGCCTCTGCAAAACACACGTTAGTCATAGTAATTTTGTATTATCATTAATCACCGAAACCCAACTAGGGGTCTAGATGCTTTCAGTCGTGTGGAGGACCCACATGGACCGGATGTCGTACCCTGTTCTGCCACAAATGGATGCGCGAGCTGTGTGTCAAGCGCCAATCCTTGGTCTTATACCTCTTCCTGCGGTCATACTTGCAACAAAACGATGTTAGTTGTACCACACACCTCTGGATTGTAGCATTGTTATTAATCCATAACGCACCCGTGCAATTCTTGGTTGGTGGAGTAAAGCGGTGGTGGACAGCCTGTCATTCTCCCAAACTGTCTGCAGACCTGGATGGGCAAGTGAATCTCGACCACATGGAAGAAAATAAGAGGGACGTCGCAGCGATACTCATCTGACTCGTCCTTAGTGACATGACTGAGATAGTCCTGGAGCTCCGAAGAATCCCAAGGACACCAATGCACCTGAAATTTCGTAATTGAGTTAGGTTGTGATATAGTGTACATCGAAGAAGACACATGTATGATAGTAAAGAGAGCGTAACATGGTGCTGTGTCAGGACGTCGAGACCGTCCGTGTACTCCCTGTACTTGCGCCACGCATTCCCTCTAACCAACGCTGATTCCGTCCAGATATACAGAGCTGTAGGGAGTGTATCCTGCCCGTATCACTGCATTGAACACGATAATGAATTAGTCATTAATAATGAATTCATATGTAATTGCCTCCAAGAATATATACAGTGTTAGATTTAAAAAAGTGTTAGTTTAAAAAAACATGCAGTGTTAGATTTAAAATTAGTTATAAAAAAATGTTAAAATTAAAAAAAAATTCCCCATGAACCAGGGTTGAGCTTGAGCAAGCTGAAAGCCTGCCCTGGGGACACGGGACAATGATGAGCATTGAGCATGCCTGGTCTGATTTTGTACGACTGAGTGGGGTAAAAGTTTGAACGGGAGACATGCATTGTCTTCTGCCCTCACAGCAGGACGACCGATCGATACAGTATTATGCATTTCGATTCTACGGCGCCGTTCGCTTCGCTGAAAAACGAGCCGAAACACTGTTTCGACTAATTTGTTGTGAAAGAAAAACACTGTTCTAACTGAAAAAACAAGCGGAAAAGTACGGATTATAAGACAAGCAAACCTGGCCTATATGTAAGATCATCGTTTGGCTGAGCTTACAGCTTGTTTGGATGGACTAAACTAAACTTTAATCTATATTTTGGATGTTCGATAGAAGGTCTAAACATAAACTAATCATGATTTAACAAAACTAATTAAGACTAATTGGTGAGTAAAACTTATTAGAAAAAACAAAATTTTAATTTGTCTATATTTCGTCTATTATCAAACAATGAACTAAACTTTAGTTCAGTGATCCGAACAGACCGGATACTCCTTATACTATAATAATCTTGAGATAACTCTAGCTTAACAACCTTTTTCATTTCATATATGTCCATGAATATACCTAAGTTTACGTTCAAAACAAATGAAGATATCTAAGCTAAAATAGTAACAGGGTTTGCAGAAATATCATTATTTGTCTTTTAATCATTCTGACTACTAATTATTTCTTACTGGCTGTAAAACAATCACCTAACATGCATCGATTTTGGGTTTGTGAATTCGTCGATAAATTGCTTAAAAGCACATAGATGGTTACAGTTCGTTTGTTATCATGTTTACTTTTCATGAACCACAACACCATGCACTTTCGGGACACAATAATTGTTATCTGGATTTTAGAAGAAACAAGACAGGTAGTTTAGTTGCGGCCTCGGCAGGATTCAACTATTCATGCCCCTTTCCACATAACTTTTCTTACAATCAAAACATCTCCCCAGATATGCTATATATAGGAGATCATGAAAAATAGTGAAAAAAAAAACAGAAGAGCAACTTAACACAGGTCTGCTGTAGTTTACTGAAACAACATCAAATGCCATAACATCTGAAGAACAGACATATATGTATTTCCTCCGTTTAAAATTATAAATTGTTCTAGCTTTTTCTATATGCATAACTTTGACTATATGTATAAACATAATATATATTTAGGTGTGTTAGCTTAATAAAGCTGGTTGTGTCGAGGTTAGGTATTTTAGTGGAGTCACTTTTTTTTTGTTCTGTTGGAGTTGAGCACGGCTGGCGTCGTTTGGAATGCGTCGCGTGTGTATCAGTCTCATCGACGCTCACATCTCGTGGCCATGGGGTGTGGTGGTAGAATCAGGGCAGGGGTGAGCGGGATCCCGGGAACGAGGACTCCGTCTCCTTTGTACTCCATCGTGTTCAATCGCGCGCGTGCCGTGTTCTTGCTCGGAGCCATGACTGACCCGGACCGGATTGCGATAGGATGTTTGTACTGATGATCCCATTCCTTGAAAATCCATTCCACCCTTATGACGCTTTGAAAATCCACTGTGGTGCCGCAGTTGCCTGTACTACTCGATCCACTTCGCAGTTGCCCGGTTCTGCGACACTACTTCAGCAGCGAACGAACAATGTTTTACTCCCGCAACAAATCAGCATAAGCTAAATTTCAGCAAAACGATTTCCAACCAAACATATGCCTGTCAGCTGGTGGAAACGGATCGATGCATACGCAGAAGCAGAAGCAGCTGCACCATCACTTACGCTACGTCCCTGCATAAATAAACCTGGCATGGCATCGGCATTGCATCCTTCCTGTCAAAGGTGGGCCTGTAACTCTGTATGGACAGGAAAATGGTTGCATTCCCAAATGCATGTATGAATGAACTAACTATTCTATGTAACAAATAGCTTTGCAGCACTCGATCCAGCAAGCACTCAAGGCATCTCTTAAATTGTCTAGTCCTTTATTAGTTCAAAAAAATTGTCTACTAGTTCTTTGTTAGAAGTGGAGCCAGTAATTAATTCATAGTAGATGTTGAGCACTGACATGACGTTCACACATGTCCTGTGTTGTCGGCTGAGGCCCACCCTAAAGTATCATATCGAATCTTGCGGCACATGCATAGAGTACTAAATATAGACGAAAAACAAAACTAATTGCACAGTTGGGTGAGAAATCGCGAGACGAAACTTTCGAATCTAATTAGTCCATAATTAGACACTAATTGCCAAATACAAACGAAAATGCTACAATAGCCAAAATAAAAAAATTTCGCCAACTAAATGCGCCCTGAGTGCAGAGAGGCTCAACATGTTTCTTTCGTGTGAGATCAGCTGTGACCTGTGGGTAGGTCACTGCAATTTACTGCTGTCGTGCAGCCATTGCCCTTCTGAATTCGGTCTCCTTGCGAGTTGTGATGCATGTTTCATTTTTTTTATGGAACGCATGTTTCATTGTTTGCTGCAAAGTGCAAACACATATACCTAGTGACTGGGACATCCACATGAATTTAACCATAATAAAGGTGTAATTTTCGAAATTACAATCAGGAATCACCCAATCAGGACATTGTTAACTGTTCAAATGGACTTCATAGTGTAATTAGTTAAAGCATGCCAGATGATCCTTAGAATAATCTATTATGACTAGACAGAGTTGAGAAAACCAAATCAAATAGTGTTATATATAGCAACTCCACAGGTAGTGGTGTGCACTCAAGTGCAGCCAGCCAAGCCTTGCTACTATAGTGGGATATCCTATCCCCATGCTGTGTCACCACCCTTAAACGCCTGCAGACATTCACAGCAAACTAGGGAGGTGAAGAGGGGAGCAATGGAGATCAAGGTCGACGAAGAGGCGGCAGAGGCAGTGGCACCCGCGCCATCACGGTTCAGGAGGATATGTGTCTTCTGCGGGAGCAGCCATGGTAAGAAGAGGAGCTACCAGGATGCTGCCATTGAGCTTGGCAAGGAGCTGGTAAATTCTGTGCTGCTGTTTCTTACTTTAATTCCTTTAGGTCTTTTTGTGCGTTTGCCTTTTATTTGTTTGGTCAGCTAGATAGCTAGACATTAGTGTCATTTTGATGATAACATGCCTTTAATCTTACTTGAAGTTTACCCTCTTGTTTTGACCACCAAAGCATCAATCAAACCCATGGTGATGCAGTGATGCTTTTCCATGAGAGTTCTTTTCAGTGAAGGGGTTTAAGAGGCTTTGCGGTAGTACATCTTTGCATGGATGCATGTTACTGTACTTACAAAATCTTCAACTTCCTTAGTTCCATAGTGAAACAATGAAACACTGCATACATGACAAATTATGGCCTATATGTGTCATCACTTTTGGTTTCCCATCTCTTAATAAGATGTATAACATGGCAACAACCTCCAGACCTTAAAGGTTTTCTAGCAACCATAAGTTTGTGTATTTGATATTTTTTTCCTGGTCTATTTAGGTGGCAAGAAACATTGATCTAGTGTATGGAGGAGGGAGTGTAGGATTGATGGGTTCGGTCTCTCAAGCAGTGTACAATGGAGGAAGACATGTCATTGGGTATGTAACATAACAACAGTTCTTCAGCACATTTGCACTATCAAATTGATAGTGCGTGAAAAGAAGAATAGCTTAGAAATTGATGAAACAGGCTCGTGTCGGAAAGTGTTGGATTGATCATGTCTGCCTCAGATCATAAAACTTACATTTTGTCATCTTGTTGTCCCTCTATGCAGGGTGATTCCCAAGACTCTGATGCCTAGAGAGGTACCCATAATCTTCCTACTTAGCATTAGTCTCTAATTGTTCGTCGCATGCCATGATTACCTCGAACACAGCAATATTGCTTCAATACCAATCAAAGTTTCAAATTGTCATGCTACACACATGAAGTTTTCATAAAGGGGGATGAAGACGCAATTCATTATTGCTATTTACTTGATATAAATATGACTATCATAATAAACCCGATGCTCATCTTTAAGTACAGAAGAAGTCAATCACCATGGGTTTATGTTTATCTTCAGAAATATTCTATTAGGGTGTGCATTTAAGAAGAGTAAACAAGGAAAAAAATACAAGATACTGCCTTTAGATCCTTCTCGCTTGTCTTTCTTGCTAGTGGGAGAGGAAGAAGGCAGGCATATGATGAAAGATCAGGAGAAATGCTCACTGAAATTGTGTCCCCCACACGATCGATCAAACCTTGCTGATCTTGACCGCAATCTCTCCAACAAATGCTGGCTTAGTTATGTTGGCCCACAGGATCACCGAGCACCCACTAGCCGTGCCGACCACGAACAAGCGTTGTCCGTCCTCACACACTATGGCTAGAGGTTGAAGAAGAGGGAGAACAGAGCATACACACACAGTACAAGACACCAGCATTGGCCGAAACCCTGTATGGGAGATGGCAAATCTGAACTCTCTTTACTGAGTTGCCGTGGTAGTCTATTTATACAATTCTATCCATCTAGTCCCAGTACAGCTGCCCTACTGCAATAGTGACTAGATAACATACATGGCTGACTCTGCGTCGGCCTCTGCATGTGGCTACAGTGCTGCAGGTGAGCCGTGCGACGCCTGCACATGCAGCGGCTACAGTATCACAGCAGGGGGCCTTTCGGCACCGTCTTCCCTCGCTGTGTTCACACAAGGTAGCAGTAGATTATCTAACAATCTTCTCCTAATCCTACTGCTAACCCTTGTACCCCTTCCATGCCGATCATCTCCTTCAGCTCTGTGAGTCGAAGACGTCTGAGCGGCTTGGTGAGGACGTCCGCGAGTTGCCAACCAGTTTTGACGAACTCGATGACGATCTGCCCTCCATCGACACAGTCCCTGAGAAAGTGGAACTTCACGTTGATGTGTTTGCTCCGGCCGTGTAGAACCGGATTCTTCGCGAGGGCGATGGCGGGCTGGTTGTCCACCATCAGTGTTGGTGGGTGAGCTTCCACGCCGGTCAGCTCGCCCAGCAGCCGGCACAGCCACACAACTTGGCACGCCGCTGTGGCCGCCGCTACGTACTCTGCCTCGCACGTAGATAGCGCCACCACCTTTTGTTTCAGCGACAGCCATGAAATTGGAGCCGACCCGAGGAAGACGAGTACACCAGAGGTGCTCCGTCGTCCGTCGATGTCCCCTGCCATGTCTGCATCGCTGAACACAGTGAGCTGCAGCCTACTCCCGTCGGTCTTTGGAAAAATGATCCCTTGATTCACCGTTCCCTTGACGTAGCGCAGTAGCCGCTTCACCGCAGCCCAGTGATCCTCTTTGGGATCCTCCATGAAGCGACTGACGTAGCCCACGACGAACGCAATGTCCAGCCTCATGTGGACTAGGTAGCGCAGACCGTCGACGATGCTCCGGTAGAGTGTTGCATTCACCTTTGCCGTGGTGCTGGCCTTCGTCAGCTTTAGCCGCTCCTCCATCGGAGTCACGCATGGCTTGCACTCAGCCATGCCACTCCGCTCCAATAGCTTGGAGGCATACGCACTCTGACCGAGCGTGAGTTTCTCCTTCCCCTGTCTCACCTCGATGTCGAGGTAATAGGAGAGTGCGCCGAGATCGCTCATTCGAAAACGAGCCGCCATCTCGCGCTTGAAGCCGTTGATGTCCTCCGTGCGTGCGCTAGTGACGATCAAGTCGTCCACATACACGCCAACGAGGAGCTCCTCCTTTCCCCATCGCCACGTGTAGAGCGCGTGCTTGGTTGTGCACCGTTAAAACCCAAGCTCGCCCAGCGTGGCGTCAAGCTTGGCGTTCCATGCTCGTGGGGCCTACCACAGCCCGTAGAGCGCCTTGCGCAGTCGGAGCACCCTGTGCTCCTCTCCCTTGACGGCGAAACCTGGAGGTTGCCTGACGAAGATCGTCTCCGCCAGTTTGCCGTTGAGAAAGGCCGATTTAACGTCCAAGTGATGGAGGCGCCAGTCCTTTGCTGCTGCCAAGGCTAGTAGGAAACGGACCAACTCCATGCGTGCTACTAGCACAAAGACCTCCTCGAAGTGTATGCCCTCGCGCTGAACAAAGCCTCGAGCGACGAGGCGCGCCTTGTGCTTGACAATGGCGCCGAGCTCGTCCCGCTTGACCTTGTACACCCACTTCAGGCTGATTGGACGACATCCTGGAGATGGATCGATGAGCTGCCATGTCTCGTTTTCCTCGATCGCCTTCATCTCCTCCAGCATCGTCCGTCGCCAGTTTCCATCGCACTCGGCCAGCGCGAACGTGGGTGGTTCCTCAGCACTGACGAGTAGCAGCTCTGCGTCATTGAGTAGCCGACCAGCCAGACCTGAGGGCCCCGTGCCGCCGACGATGTCGTCCATCCTACGGAACCGCACCTCACCTTCATGGTAGGCATCCACGAACTCAGTGACGTCACTTGGAGGTGAGGCGAACTCGATCGGCGTCGATGGAGTTCCCTGTTCCGCCGGAGTGCTCGACACCCTGGTTTCAGTGCTCGGCACTACTTCTGGACAGCTCGTCATAACTCCTGTAGTGTTCGGCCACACTGTAGGAGTGCCCAACCTCAGTCTTGGAGTGGTCGGCACCACTGCAAGACGTCTGGGCTCCGCCATGGGAGTGCTCAGCACCTGTCCTGTAGTGGTCGCCACCACTGACAGAACCTCCCGGCACCACTCCTGGCGTGCTCGGCATCCCTCTAGGAGTGCTCGGTATCCCTCCCGAAGTGCTCGTCACTGCCCCAGGAGTGCTCGGCACCCCTCCCGGAGTGCTCGACACCTCTTCCCCAGCGTCTCCACCACCGTGGATGACCAGGTGCTCGACGACGAAGGTGTTGGTGAAGCTGCCAGCTTCCCCCGTTCTCGGATTGCTCCAGTCCCAAGCCGCCTTCTCGTCGAACACGACGTCGCGCGAGACAAGTACCTTGTCTCTGCATGGGTCGTAGAGCCGGTACGCCTTGGTACCCTCCGCGTAGCTCAGGAACACCATCGGTGTGCTCCTGTCCTCTAGCTTGGTGAGGTTCGGCTTCGTCTTCCTAACATGGCCGATGCAGTCGAATGTCCGAAGGAAGGACACACTCGGCTTGCGTCCAAACCAAGCTTCGAACGACGTCTTTCCCGTCAGGGCCTTGGTCGGAGAGCGGTTGAGGACGAACACCGCCGTGGTCACCGCCTCACCCTAGAACCTTGCCGGCATGCCTTTGGCCTTCATCATGGATCGGGCCATGCCGACCACCGTCTGGTTCCGCCTCTCCACCACGCCATTCTGTTGTGGCGAGTACGGCGCGGTGTGGTGTCGCCCCACACCCTGATCCGCGCAGTACGCAGCAAACTCCATCGAAGTGAATTCGTCGCTGCGATCAGTCCTCGGCACGCGGAGCTTCTTGCCACTCTCGGCCTCCGTGCGCATCTTGAACTTCTTGATCGCCGCTGCTGCTTCTTCCTTGCTCGTCAGGAGTTGCAGCCACATGTAGCGACTGCAATCGTCCACGAGCAGGAGGAAGTACCGCCGACCACCGTTTGTAGCAGGCGTGATCGGCCTGCAGTGGTCACCGTGGACGAGCTCGAGAGCGTCCTTCGCGCGATACTTGGCCGCCTTTGGAAATGGTAGCCTCCTCTGCTTCCTGGCCAGGCAGCTGTCACACAGCTCGCCTCCGTGCTTGATGTGGGGTAGCCATCGGACAATCTTCTCCAGCCGACCAAGCGCGTCGAAGCTGAGATGTCCGAACCGGGCATGCCACATCCACGGTTCCACACCGGCTGCTCTACCTTCAGGCCGAGCAGGTACAACCGGTTTAGGGACCTCTTCACCTTGGCGAGAAGTCGCTTCTCCAGGTCCCTGATCCTAAGGACTCAGTCCTTGATTAGTACCTTGCTACCGTGCTCATCCAGCTGACCAATGCTGATGATGCTGGAACGCAGCTGCGGGATGTAATATACATCCGTTAGCGCGCGATGCTCCCCGTTCTGACACCTGAAGATGATGGTGCCGCGCCCTTGAATTGCCACCCGTGAGCCATCACCAAACTTCACCATACCGGTAACATCGTCGTCGAGCTCGGAGAAGGATTCCTTGGAGCCCGCCATATGGTTGCTGGCACCTGAGTTTAGATACCACCGCTGCTCCTGGTCGGTGCCCACACGTCTGAGGTGGACTTGGGCGCGTGGTTCGTCGAGGTTGACAGTCTTCATGGCCTTCCCATGTCCTTCCACCGTCGTCGCCTCCTCCTCCTCAGTCTCGACGTCGTGCAATGCACAGAACGTCGCCATCAGGATAGTGGCCTCATCCTCATCATCGGCTTGCGCCAGATGAGCCTGAGCCTTCTTTTCCTGCTTGCGGTTTGGGCACTCCCGTGCCCAATGGCCCATATTCCCGCAGCGCCGACAGGCGTTGGGGTCGACCTGCTTCTTCTTCTCCGAAGAAGCCCTGCCGCGGCGCTTGCCATCGCCACCGTGGCTGGAGGAGGCTGCCTTCCCGGAGTTCCTCCGAGCAGCCCACTCCTCTTCCGTCAGCAGCAGTTTGCCGCTGTCCTTTGTTGCTGTCGCCTACTCCAGGTGCTCGTCCACCACCCGCAGACGGCCTGTCACATTCTCAATGGTGAGGCTGGACAAGTCTAGCATCGTCTCTATGGAGAGAGCGATCTGGATGTACTTTGCCGGCATAGAGTGGAGGTACTTGGAGACCGCCTCCTCTTCGTCGATGGTGACGCCTTGGCTCTTCAACTTGCTGATGAGCGTCTGCAGGCGGAGGAAGAAGTCCTCCACTGTTTCACCATCCTTGAACTTGAGGTTGACGTACTCCTGCTTCAAAAGCTGGACCGTTGCCTTCTTTACGCGGTCGGAACCGACGCGCATCGCCGCAATAGCCTCACACGCCTCCTTAGCAGAGCTCTTTGCCCCCAACGGCTCCCTGTATTCCGCCGGTACAGCAGCGAGGATAGTCTCCAACGCTGACATGTCATCTTCTTCATTGTCGGTGCCCTTGTCAACAACATTCTAGAGCCGTCGGGCTCTGAGCTTGACCTTCATAGTCACCGACCACTCTCCATAGTTGGTGCGAGCCAGCGTCGGCCAACTGGTGCCGCTGACCTCCCGCACCGTGCGAACAACGACCCCCGGTCGTGGCTGGGCAGCCACAACAGTGCCACTGCTGTCGCCCATCTCCGAACCGGCCGTCATCGCCTGCGGTTAGTCTGGCGACAGCGCTTGTATGACTCTGATACTACTTGTTGGCCCACAGGATCACCGGCTCAGGTGAGTAAACCACTCACCAGTCTTACCGAGCACCCGCTAGTATTGCCGAGCACCCACTAGCTGTGCTGACCACGAACAAGCATTGTCTGTCCCCACACACTATGGCTAGAGGTTGAAGAAAAGAGAGAACAGAGCATACACACAGTACAAGACACCAGCGTTGGCCGAAGCCTTGTATGGGAGATGGCAAATCTGAACTCTCTTTACTAAGTTGCTGTGGTAGTCTATTTATACAACTATATCCATCTAGTCTCAGTACAGCTGCCCTGCTGCAATAGTGATTAGATAACATACATGGCTGACTCTGCGTCGGCCTCTGCATGTGGCTACAGTGCTGCAGGTGAGCCGTGCGGCGCCTGCACTTGCAGCGGCTACAGTATCACAGCAGGAGGCCTTTCGGCGTCGCCTTCTCTTGCTGTGTTCACACAAGGTAGCAGTAGATTATCTGACAAGTTAAACAATGAAAAAGCCCATCACATTTCTTCCTATGCCCAACACCAGCACCATAATTGCCTCCCCTGAACATGTGTCCTCTGATTAAAAAACCTGGTAATGTAAAACAGTCAAGTTATCCTCCTTTCTCCATCTCCAGAAAGTTGGTCCCCTTTAGGTAAGCAAAAAAGGCTGTGCAGCTAGTAAAATATATATGATGCTTGTTCTTGCGCGTGTGATGGTTGCAGATATCAGGTGAGACGGTGGGGGAGGTGATAGCAGTGGCTGATATGCACCAGAGGAAAGCTGAGATGGCCAGGCAGTCCGATGCTTTTATAGCATTACCTGGTGAGTGTGCGTGTCACCTGAGAAAAGGAAAGTGATGGATCGGTAGTTGTGACTGGTAAATTTGGTTGTCACTTTCTTCAGCTTTTGCAATGATCCACTGGTAGTGGAAGTGTGAGTGAAAGTTCATAATGCATGCTGTCTCTGACGAGGCTATCTGCTCCAAAAGTTGAGACTTTGTTTCCCTGCACAAGCACAATGACTAAGTGAGAATCGAAATTAGACCATGATAATTCCAAGACCAAGCCATGCGATTCAGAATTAGGAATCTGTGATCTTGAAAACATAAACTAAATTCAACATTTAGGATCAAGTAACTACACAAAATTTGCTCATGTCCTACTTGTTTTAGTATTTACCACTGTACTGAAGGAGGTCTTCGGTTGCTGAGCTTTGACTTGTAGGGGGGTTTGGGACACTTGAAGAGCTGCTGGAAGCGATTTCATGGGCTCAACTTGGCATCCATGACAAACCGGTACCACACCGTTCATCCTTTTTGCAGCAATTCATAAACTCTTTGCTGGGACGACCTACAATGTATCTGCTATTCTGCAGGTTGGACTGCTTAATGTGGATGGCTACTACGACCCACTGCTGTCTTTCATTAACAAAGCGGTGGAAGAAGGGTTTATCAAACCAACTGCTCGCAATATCATGGTCTTGGCTCCAACTCCCAAGGATCTGATCCAGAAGTTAGAGGTGGGTCCCCTGCCTTCTTCTTTTTTCCCCTTCTGCAGACTTACTCCCTCCGCACCAAAATAAATTAATTCCTAAAATCATCCTAAGTTAGGGCTTGTTTGGTAGAGCTCCGTTCCTGGATTCTTATCTCTAGCCCTTTGATTCTTTGGGGGAGTGATTCTAGTTGATTTTGGTGGGAGGCATGGTGGGGAGCTGGTGAGAATTGATTCTGGAGTGATTTTGGTAGAGATTGAATAGGGAGCAGGGAGGCCCAGCTCCCAGTGTAAACGGAGAAGTGATTCTTGTCTACTCCCACTAGAATCTGTGCGCAGTTTTGTTGTTTGGCCGAGGAGTGATTCTTAGGGAGAATCCGCTTCAAGAAACTCTACCAAACGATCCCTTAAACTATCTTAAGTTTGATCAACTTTAGAAGAAAGAGTAATAACATCTAGACACCAAATAAGTACATTATATGAAAATATATTTTATGGTGCGTCTAGGGATACTAATTTTGTGTCATAAATAATGGTACTCTCTTCTATAAATCTGGTCAAAAGTTAAAATAGTTTAACATAGAACAACTCTAAAAGTTGATTTGATTTAGGACAGAGGCAGTATGTTGGCAAGATCTGTGTCCCACAAAACATAAAATGTGGTCACAACATTCAGAAGCATACATCCAAACACAATTCGTTATGTACTACGCATAATCTTTGCTTCTAAGCATAGCTAAGTTTACTGCTTTGCCTTCTCTATCAACCAGTGTCCAGTTTAGCCTTAAAGCATGAAGCACTGTACTAACAGCATAAAACTTGGCAATAATGCAGAATGCATCTTTAATGAGACCAACAAGAAGTATTATATCGTGATCCCATATATGTCTTGGTCCAGTGTCAATGTCTTCATCGATGATGCAAGAACTGGCAGTACAAATTCAGGTGTAGATGTAGTGCTAAAGCATTGCTGCGTTTAAGCAATGCACTTGGTACAATGCTAAACTGCAACGTCAGGAAGGACTAAAACTTGGGACAATTTTTTTCCCTTGTTTTTAGGAGTACTCACCGCAGCACGAGGAAATCGTGCCGAAGATGAAATGGGAGGTGGAACAGTTGAGCTACGCTCAGAACTACAAGATCCCCAGGCCAAAGGAGGGGAAGATGGTCATGGAAGCAGAACTGGGAAGCAGGCTGTGGATGTAGTACCAAGCCACTAGCCCTATTCATGTAAGATAGGCTTGCATATTTGGTAATACTAGAAGTCCAGAACATCTAGTGACTCATCACCTCGCTGTGCTGGATGCATGTACCCTCCTGAAATCTACTGGTTGCTCATTCGTGTAAGATTAGCTATGTTTACTTGTACTGCAAAATTAATGGAGCTAAATTGGTAGTACATGAATACACTTACCACTGGAATGCTGAGGTGAAGGAGGCCGATTTGAAGCCGGAGATTGCTCGCTCGCTAGGGCTAAACAACTGAATTGGCTTGGCTGCCCACTTCTCTCAAGAATTGCGCTTTCAGATAGGATGCCAGTTGGGGCCTCGCGATCCAAAGCACCAAGTCGCTTTCGTCCTCACCTTCAAAGTCGAAAGACCTCACGCCGCCGCCGCTGCCGTCCCCCGTCGGCCTTCGCCGCCGTAACGACGCCGCTTGCCCGTTTGCCGCTGAGAAGCGATGGAACCCAAAGCAAAGCCTCCAAGAATGTGTAAAGCCCTAGGGCCTGGACCAAGGTCGTGGAAAACTTGATCCTGAACTACTTTCGTGGGCCAAATGTAAAAAGGCCGCGGCCACTACCGCTTCCGCTTCGATCCGGATGAGATCTCGAAGCTCTGAAACTAGCTCTGAAACCACCGGCGTCTGCTTCAGTTTGGCGATCCACATCGAGTGTCTGGCTGCGAAATATTTGCATCTGCACAAGTTCTCCGTGAATCGTCAGTTTTACAAAACACGTGCGCCACCGACAAGGTGGTGGTGCAGGTTGGAGCACTAATCTACCAATCCTTGCCATTCTTCACCTAACCCTACCCTTAGACAGTATTAACAAACACCATCATCCTAACTACTCACCACTACTAGCATTTGCTTCTTTTCCTCACTGAGACTGGGATGCAATTATTCCACGCATGTTCGTCAAAAAGAATATCATGGGGAGCGATAATTCGCCATACTGAACTCGTGATTTGAAGTCCTGATTTGATTCAGCACCCGGCCTGCCGGCTATGATAAGCGGCCCTCTTTTCCCCTCCATCCGGCCATCCGGGGACAGGCCAGAGATTCAGAGCCACGACTGTCTGAACTGAACTGAACTGACTGGTGTGAGGTCTCACCCAACGGCCACCAGAATAATGGAGCTGCTCCGCTCCGCTCCACCGCTGCGCATGGGTTGTTGCCTTTGCTTGCATTCACGGGAAGGCCGACGCTTGCTTTACTGCTGCAACCACCTGACTCCCCCCTCCATCCAACCTTGCGTCCCAAGTGACAAGAGGAAGAAGGTCTGTTGTTTTCCTTCCTTCCTTGCCAATTATTGGATTGGTGAATGCTAGCAGCTTTGATGTGATGCTCCCCATTTGGCTTAATTCTATTCGATTAGTGCCTTTGTTAGGTCGGAGAATCTGCTTTGGAGATCGATACCGCACTTGAGCTGGTTATTTGTATTTTAGTCGGTGCAGGGGGGTCTATGCATGGTTTCATGCTTTCAGCAGTGCCCGAATCCACTACAGCCGAATTTGCATTGGTCATCAGTTTTGTCAGTCCAAGAAATCTGAGGTAACAAACATAATGTATGATCTTAACAAAAGAGAAGCCAGCGTAATACAGAGGTGCATCTGTAGGCGATTCTCTTCTGATATCTACACTGCAACAGCATGCTGCATTTCAATTCACCTGTTCAAAGTAGAGAGAGAGAGAGAGAGAGACGACCTGTAATTTTCTTCTTGCCTACTGCCGGAAGGTAGCCTAAAAGAATATCCGAATTGAGAAAATTCAGGCTTTTTTGTTACTGTCTATAGTCAACTAATCATCATAAAGTTAATTGACCATCTTTTTTAAGGAAGTTTTTTATCCATTTATTGTTCACGCTATATGAAAAATGATTAAACACTTTGAAAGACATTGATTAGTGTATGTAGTACTACAAAGTTCTGTTGCCGCGTCAATGAAGATCAAACGTCTTCTTCACACGGACTTTATTAAAGCTGGAATATTGTAGGGTGATTAATTGGTGGCGACACCGAACGCTTACTTAGTCGTAGTAGCAAGACATTGATTAGTACTACTAGTAGCAGTACACAAATTTTGATTAGTTGCAAAGTGCTGCACTGGACAATAATGGACCTCAGCGAAGATCTTTCTCTGGCGAGGGAATTGCGTGAAAGATCCCTTTGGACGTTGGCAGAATGCATGCTCCAGCCGAGCATTGGGCCGGTATCCATGTTTTGGCACTATCGGTATGTATGCTGTAAACTATGTGCAACTAGATCTTCAGTGTAGACTACAGATCCACAGAGTTTGGCATCGATGCATCGTTATTAGTTTTTAGATTAGATGCGTTTATAAGCATTGAAATTAATAAATTACATGCTACAGGTCAGGAACAAGCCTCGATCGATCGGTGATGTTGACTCAGGCAGCAATAGCATACACCGGCAACACCAGTCTTGAGAATTTTTACTTATACCTGGTTCGGTTACCATCTCTTTCCATGTCGGTGATGTGGACTCGCGATCAGGCGACCATGTCCGGGGCCAGGACCGGGACCGGGAGGGAGCTGTTGCCTTCCTCTAACGCTCGCTGATTTCTGTCTAGCTAGCAGCAGCCCAGCAACAGCAGGAAGCGAGCGAGCGTCAGGGTCAGGCACCGGCGTCAAAGCACGGAGCAGACTGCCCACCAACACATTACACATGCGCCTCTGCGCGCCACCAACACCTCCCCTCCCCCGGGCCCCGGCCCACTGGTGCCGGACATAAAAATGCCTCTGCCTCTCTTCTTCCTCTCCCCCGAGGCGCTGCGGCACGGAACCAGCGCCATTAGAGGCCACACCACACCAACGCCCCTCCCTTCTCGCGCGCACATACGCGTGTATGAGGAGCTACTAGCAGGAGGACTGCTAGCTGCAGAGAAGAGGGAGGAGGAGGAGAGATAGCCCCTGTTGATTTGAAAGATCAGTTTCAAGTGAGTACTATTCTTACTTGTTGAATTCCTGTGTCTCATCAGGTTGTTCTTGAGTTTTGAACATTCTCGTCTCATGGTTTTCCTGTGCTTATTACAACAATCTTCGAGATTAGTAGACCAATCATGTGAATAGCATACTCCCTAGTAGAAACTTTAGAGGGGCGGCAAAGATTGAACTCCGCTACACTGCTCTAACATGTTTGATGAATTCCTTGGTTCGCGTGTATTTTGCTGCAAGTAATCAATGGACCAAGTCGTCAGGTTATCAAACCAGCATAAGTGGTAGATTCTAGTATTCTACGCGCTCCGTTTCACCTTTCAATATTGAGTTTATTTCTTTAGAAACAAAACAGAACGAGTTCTCCCCCCCCCCTCTTCTGTTCATCTGTTTAAGCTATGCGAGTTTAAACCAAAAACTCCATTCAGTATTTAGCCATTATTTTATTAAATACTAGTATATATCCGTGCAAACGTGATCAATCATTTCGTAACAACTAGGATCCCATTCGATCATTGTACCACCTCGGGCCAGAGCGAACCACCCATCTGTACGTTTCATTCATGCAGCTGATATCCATCGTGCTACTTCATAACAGCGCCGGCCGTACGATATTTATTCAAAGTAGAGATATGCAGTTGTGCGCTTGGATGCCAATGCCATGGTTTGCAAGTCGTATTCTCGTAGAAACACTTGCCCACGCTCGTACAAGCTCGCTGGACCTAGTCCATCTGTGATCTGCCAAAAGGTCCGAGCCATTCGTCCAGCTAGGTCCTTGTCCTGACGTCCTGTAGTTTTAGCTGGACACCACCAGAGGCTTCGGTGCACTGCATACGCGTTATCGATCGCGTGCGGCTGTGCCGGACGCGGAATAGCAGGCACCCCCGGATTCCCATTTGGTCTCGGCACGCTCGTCGCACTCGCACGCCATGTCTCTGCGCTGCGCTGCTTCGTCTCCATGCGAGCACGGTGTCGTCAACTGCAGCTCTGCAAGCGTATGATGAACTCAGGTCAGGAACTATCAGCAGCTCGGTTGCACGACAAAAAATGATCCGGGGAGTGAGTCGCTGTCATGATTCATATGAACTTGCCTGCAGCTGCAGGCATATTTTCTGCTCATGAAGGGTGGAAGTAGAGTCGTGGAAGCATCCCACGGCAGCGTCCGAGTGGAATCATTCGGCGGACATTGGGCCATGGTCTCATCACGCGCGCTAGCGGCTGGCCAGCCATTTGGCAGTAGCTTGTTTGGGATGTCACGGCCGACGACATCTTTGTCTTACCTGTTCAACGCCACCCTTTTCTTATTCCTGGCCCTGGAACTGGAACACTGTTACTGACGCTGATCCATAAGGGATAAGGCCGCCCGATTCAGGCATTCCAGTGGGAGTAGGAGCTCGTTTTTCTGTCCTCTGCCCCAGTTTCAGGTTTTCAGTGTACTCCACCGTGCACCGTGTAAATCACCTAGATTGAATCCACAAGACCACAAGTTACGACTGTGCGTAGCTTTTACATGTTGGCCATAGTACACGTGCCGCATATATATAGTCGGTTCCTTGCACTGAATACTGATACCTTTATATATGCGGTTCATGTAGCAGATTCAGAAGTGCGTAGCCGAAGGGCAGCATACACAGCAGCTGGCCAAGATGACTGCCGGTTTCCAGCTCGGTGTGATTGGGTCTCTTACGCTCTCCGTCGCCTCATCGGTTGCCATTGTCATCTGCAACAAAGCCCTCATCAGCACTCTAGGCTTTCCATTTGGTAAGTACCCCTAGCTCTGCAGCCCACAAGTATCAATGGAACCTGATGAACAAATCAAGGGCTTTCAGCCTATTTAGGAACCACAGCGCACACTGCAGAGTTACATGCGTTCAGTTCAGTACTTGCCGGAAAATAACCATATCTAATGTGTTTATGATCAATGCAGCTACAACTTTGACAAGCTGGCACCTGATGGTGACATTCTGCACCCTTCACGTTGCGCAGCGTTTGCGCTTTTTCGAGCCCAAGGCGATTGATGGACAGACGGTAGTTTTGTTTGGGTTGCTGAATGGAACCTCGATTGGCCTTCTGAACCTTAGTTTAGGATTCAATTCCATTGGATTCTACCAGGTCAGTCCTCCTCTCATTCGGTTAATTTTTTCCTTGATTGAAAATGAAAGCAGCACATGCTCAAATTCAGTATGTTCTGCAGATGACAAAGTTGGCCATAATACCCTTCACAGTGCTATTGGAGACTATATTCCTCAAGAAAAGATTCAGGTTAGTTAGAGAAATCATAAGTGGTGCTGCCTGTCTACTAGATGTTCTGATTGTATTCTGTTCAAACCAAAACAGTGATAAAATTTGGCACTGGGCAATAAAACATTCTACAGTGTACAGAAAAGGTTTCGTGCCGCCTTTTTTATTTTTGTATTAGGGTGATTAGATTTTTTTATCTAAAACTATCCTGACTAGAGCAGTGGATAAATTAAAAGTATGCTTAACTTCGTTTATTTTTTACTGGTCCCTGACAATATCATTTTGTTTCATTATGATATATAATATGACTTGCAATATGCAGTGAGACAATCAAGTTTTCTCTGCTGGTCTTGCTACTTGGAGTTGGCATTGCTTCAGTTACCGACCTTAAGTTAAATTGCCTCGGGTCTACTCTTTCTGGCCTCGCCATCGCCACGACTTGCGTTGGCCAAATTGTATCCTACATTTGAAATATTTCTGTTCATCATTCAGGGTGCACATTTTGCATGCCTACCATCGCCATGTACACTAATTGTCAACATAATCCATGATTGCTATGGTGTATCCTTAACCTGTTGAGTGAAGCTCACAAATACGATACAGAGGAAGCTGAAGGTCTCATCAACGCAGCTTCTCTACCAATCGGCGCCTTACCAGGCAGCCATTCTGTTCGCCACTGGCCCCTTCGTGGATCACCTCCTCACCGGCCGCAGCGTCTTCGCCCACGTATACACTTTCCCAGTTGTGGTAAGCTCCGTCACATATTCTGTGCAACGGTTGCAGTACAGACATATTTTTGCCAGTTTCAGAGAAAGATCACTACCATACCAAGTATAGCTCAGCTTTGGGTGGGTGACAACATGACGAATGATGACAAGCTAAGGGTGCACATTGCATGAGCTGTGTTGCAGGGCTTCATCATCCTGTCATGCCTGATCGCGGTGTCGGTGAACTTCAGCACGTTCCTGGTGATCGGGACGACGTCTCCGGTAACGTACCAGGTGCTGGGCCACCTCAAGACGTGCCTGGTCCTGTCGTTCGGCTACACGCTGCTGCACGATCCCTTCACCGCGCGGAACATCCTGGGCATCCTCGTCGCCATCTTCGGGATGGCGCTCTACTCCGTCTTCTCGGTGCGTGAGGGCAAGAAGAAGTCCGCAGGCGACGCCCTCCCGGTGTCACAGGTACGTACGGTTGTCATCGATCAGGTTATCACATACTTTGCTGGAGGTGGACTGCTGAGGTTTGGTAGAGCTGAGTTCAGCCATTCATGGGCCGGTCTGATCATGTTCGTGGTTACTGCAGATGCCTGACAAGGAGACGGAGCCGCTGGTGGCGACCAAGGACAACAGCGACACCAAAAAGGCCAACGGGGTAGCTCACGACTGCTAAGATGGTCCCGTTGCTTATAGCTTAATTAGCCCAGCTCTAGTGTCACTACGCACTGTTCTGAATCTCAGAAGGTCAGGGAAGAAGACATTCCTTTCGTTTCTTACAATGCTGTATGTAGCAGTACCGTTTTTTTATGGCAGTCGGGGTGTTTAGCACGGTGTACAATTTGATGCAGCAGCTCTTAAATTGTTACTCTGTTTAGTCCGCACGACTCAGCGGATTGGGAGTGTCCCCACCAAGCTAGTTAGCTTCTTTCTCTTCTGCGAGGAATTTTGCTAAACGTTTACCACTATGTACTAGCAATAGCTAAGTATATATCTTTACATTAACGATAATGATACATACCAGACGTCCGGGACAGCCGACGCCTCCGTCCGCTCATTTCTGCACCCGCTCATTCCTCCCGCGCCCCTTCCCCCACCGCGGCATCTCCGCACCCGCCGCACCCACGCCGCAACGCTCCTCTGACGAGCCGCACACCCGCGCCCCGCCCCCATGTGCGTCGCACGAGCTGCCCACCTCGCTGACTCCCTCTCCCTCCTCCTGCTCCGGCGCGGTGGTGTCCCAGGCGCGAGCAAGGGCTCTGATCCACGTGGCTACCCCTGGCGACCCCCTTTCTCTTGTCCGGCCGGCCACCCCCGGCCTCAACTCTGGTGTGGGGACGGGCGTGACCCCGGCGGCGGCCCCGGCGCGGGCGCAGATCTTGCGTGGGCGCGCGGCCCTGCTCCGGCACGGGACGCATAGCTCTGGCACGGGCGCGTGGTGTTGCCCCGGTCCACGCCTTCCACCCGCTCCCCATCCCAGATCCTGCCCTCCGATCTGGCCACGGTCATGGTGGGTTCGATTCTCCGATCGGGGCAACAGCTATGGATCACAGCCGGCGGGCGGTGGAGTCGTACTGGCCATTCGTCTGAGCAGATGTTGCGCTTGAAAGTGCATGCTGCAAGCATTTGTTTCAAGTGTTTCAGATATTTCATATGTACGTTGCAATTATTTCATGCGGATGTTGCAAAAGTAGATCGAGATGTTGCGTATGTTGCAATGGTTGTACACGTATGTTGCAAGCTTTTATTCCCAATGTTTCATCTATGTTTTCCGGACGCATGTTGCATTTGTGTTTATCTGGATGTTACATATGTTCCAGACATATGTTGCATGTGTTTTATTCGGATGTTGCGTATGGTTGCAATGGTTTTCAAGTGTGTTTTAGGTGTTTCATAAGCATATTTCAAGTGTTTCAACTGCCTTCAGATGTATGTTACAGCCGTTGTATTTGGATGTTTCAATAGTAGATCGGGTGTTTGTGGCAGAACCACCCAAATTATGCTGGCCCATGTGTACCCGTCATTGTTCTAAAGACCTCTGACTGCATTACACGAAAGCCAGATAATCTGATAGTCTGTCGGGTGTCCTCGGGGAACCCCGAATCATCTATATTTTACAACTCATACATGATCAATAATGGAGTTACCATAACATTACAACATTGATACAAAAATTTCATACATCGGAGTTGCGGAAGATTTACAACATTAGATTACAAAACATGTTATGTACCTTTGAGTAACACTTGAGTTCCAAAAGTTGAGTAGAACTACGGAAGTAACTTAAGTGAAGTACCTAAGATAGAAGAGACGACTAGATCATGTCGAGCCCACCGACATGACCTTGATTAGCAGCACAAGTCAAAACCTACAACAGGGGTTAACAAACCCTGAGTACATGAGGGTACTAAACAAGTCTTACCCGACCAAAAGAAAAGACGCCAAGGGCATGCTGGCTTAAATGAAAGATTGAAGCAAGAAGTAACTTTTGCGAAAAAGCTTACTATGAGTGGATCCTTACTTTCAATGTTTTAGCTGTGTATTAAGTTATTATCAGTATCTAATTTGCACCTGTTCTACATCAATCACTTCATTAATCATCTCATATCTTCTCATGTTCATCTCTTATCCACAAGTAACCATGTTCCATTGATTAACTATGATGTTGATCGGGGGATTGAGTCTTCTTCGAGAAGCACGGTGATTCGAATTGATTTGGCCCAGCTGGGGTTTCCTTACCACACGACATATGCAGGTCCCAGACCTACACATATCAACCTTCACTCAGATCCTCCAAAACCAGAATGGGTTCACGCCACCCGAGAACACAGTACTCCACCGCCCTACCCTATTTCAGTAGGGTGGGTACACGCTACTCTCGCCATCTCTTCACTCCCAGTGTGCGGTTGTCCTTTCCCATAATGAAATAGCCGAGATATTAGACTTACTGGAGTATGTGGCTAGTACTGCAAGGTCTCGAACACGACAGGTCTACAACGAACGGTCCTCAATCGACACAGACTGAACAGACACGACTAGGCAACCCTGTCGGCTTAACCACCAAAGACAATTTCCAGGTCCCGTCCGGTCTCAAGTTATTCAAATTCATTATTAACCTCAGGACATCCCTGAGTATAGAACCATTGCGAATGATGAAATCACAACTCGACTCTTATCAACTAAGCATGGCTAAGCATACTAACCTATGATAACTACCAGGGTGACAAGGAATAGTATTGAAATACCAAGGTAGTCGTGCAACAATTGGTATTCAATCAACTCCTATTCTTACTTAATACAACAGGCATAAGACTTAAGTGATTAACGTTTATAGAACACAAGGAATGAGTTTATGCTCTGAGGCTTGCCTTGGTTAGTAGAGGTGTTAGGTTCTCTCGATGAGCCACAGATGTCAAACCCAACCTCCACTGGTGGATGCTCTTCTTCTAGGATTTGATCAACGGTTACTTCCTCGCTTTCGTTCACTACACGTGAATAAAGGATACATGCTTACCATGATGAAGTGCTAAACATGATGCATGATGCGAGATACATAAGTGCATAACAGAACTTAAACTAATCTAAGAAAGTTGAATACAACTTTCCTTCGCGGTACAATTAGGGTTATGCTTCACAAAGCATTTTAATTATTTGATTAACCAGTCAATCATGTGGTTACCAAGAAAGCAACACTTATCACATTATACTAGTCAAGCATGGCAGAGTATTTAACTAAACATTACACAAATTGCAACCAAGAGGATAAGCAAGGATTATTACATGCCTTACATGGATCTACTACTAATTATGAGTAAACCATTTTATTTATTTATATAACAAGTTGATTCAAAACATATCAAGCAAGTAACTCCATTGCCAAGGAACAACAGGTGTTTGGGTGTTCCAAGGTCCACAATCAAAGTATAAAACTCACCCAAGTCATTTAAGGATTTATCTAAATCATTTTAGCAATTATTAAATAAAGAAAAGGCATTTAAGCACACCTAAATTAATTTACCAAGTTAGAATTACCAAAACAGTACCAAATCTTTTTTGAAGGCAGCTATTAGCATGTAAAGCATACACAAAAATTTTCATGATTAAAGAATAATTATTTTAGCCTATAAAAATCATGGAATGTGCATTTATTAATTAAAAGAGTGAATTTTTAAGCACATCAAAACTACTGCAAATATTCAACTAATATTTTTCCTAGGTATATCACATCATAACAAGACTACACAGAAAATTTCATGAATTTAGCATGCTCCAATAATTAGTTATGAATTAAACAAGATACTGCACTTTTTATCATTTTCTGAAAAAGAGGAAATCGGTTAAAACATTTTTTACCCAACCCCAAGCTACCCCAGCAACTGACAGGCGAGGCCAGTGGTCAAACCTGACCCTTCCCGCCTTGACCACGGGTACGCCGGTGGGTCGGCCGCATAGCTCGTCGGCGGCGAGCCCTCCGGTGTTGGTGAGGACACCTACGCGTTCCACAAGAACCCAAGCACCTATCTACGCTATGCGTGGAACGGATTAGGTTTAGATTTGAGCTCCACGTCGGCCATGGCGGTGCGGCGGCATAGAGCGTAGTGGCGACACGGCGATGGCGCTGCTGTAGCGACCTAGATAGGACTTGGGTTAGCACCAGGAGCTCACAACGATCATGCTTGTCGGGGACCTAATACCGGGATACCCAATGAGGTGGAGCTAATAACCATCGAACATTGATGCTTCCGGTTAGACAAGAACGCTACTACACTTCTTGCCCAAATGACAGAAGATTGGTTCCGCCTCGCCCGACCCCCGAGGGCTAGACTCCGCCTCGCCCGACGGCTGAGTTATGGCTCCGCCTCGCCCGACGTTTGAGGGCTGGCTCCGCCTCGTCCGATGGCTCAGGGCTAGCTCTGCCTCGCCCGATGTCCAAGGGCAGGCTTCGCCTCGCTCGATGGCTGAGGGCTGGCTCCGCCTCGCTCGATGACTGAGGGCTGGCTCCACCTCGCCTGACGTCTGAGGGCTGGCTCCGCCTCGTCCGACAACTGAGGGCTGGCAAACTGGACGTAGGGACATTCTGCCCGAAACAGTATAAACCTTGTGTCCTTTCATACACCATCTGAGCCTAACGCGCAACAAACATAAATTTACTAGTTGGTGTTTGTTCGAAACACCGACAGTTGGCGCGCCAGGTAGGGGCCTTTGCGCGTTCCACATCAGGCCACGGATGGCTAACCATGGCATCAGCTAGGTCCCAGGCGCACACGTGCGCTTCGGGAGCCTAGACTTCATTATCACGGTGGGAGGAGAATTGGCATTGGCTCACGCGGCCATCCAATCTCTCCCCTCCATTGGCCTCAACCACGAGAGGCTTGGGCGCCAGCTCGGTGTCTCCCTTGGACCCCAGCAGTCCAGGGAGGACCAGCGTCACCTCACCCTTTCCGACGCCAATGACATGACACGGTCTTCTGGAGGAGGATCCCTCTCTTTGAAATGCCACATACGGAGCACCCCGATAGCGCTTCCGTTCGGTCTCCACAACGCTGTGGCAACCATCAGCCACCTTGTGGCACGACGCATGGTTCAGCCACCCGCGAACAACAAGTTTGTGGGGGTGATCGAACACATCATGGAGTCTCTCCACAACCTCCTCACAGAGGAGCCAGTGTCATCGTC